TCTGTAAATATGACACCCACCAGTCAGACCCACATGTATAAACATCATTTTATCTCCCTAGTATAAGAAACTGAAAGAGCAAATAAAATCTGAAAGGTACAATTGACACCATGAAATAGAATGAATCTGTTCAAATGGAAGAAACAACTGGGATGAGGGAAAGGAGCAAACAAAGAAAAACTGAAAGGAAAAACATATGTTTATGCATACATATAGGATACTTTGGATAATTGTACCACTGATTTCTGTCAGTCTATTGAAAGGAACACTATTTACATTTATTCCTCTTTGCTTTTTAGTTTTTTGTAACTATTTTTGACCAACTTTGTATGCTTAATTTGGTAATCTGAACAACTGATTTGCAGATAACAATATGCAATACAACAACCATTGTTGAATTCCTATGATTTTGTTTAATGAAACTTTGTATCATTTTAGTGTGTTTTTACCAGTTTTATTCTCTATAAGTGAAAAATAAAACAGATAAATATATGTTTCACTCTTTTAAAACAGATATTACATATAATTTAACTTGTGGTAGGTTTTGTCTACATAAATTTATTGTAAAAGATATCTTAAATAAAAATGCATTATTTAATAATGATGATTATTCTTCCATTAAATTGTAGTAAGCTGGACCTGTTTGGAGATGGGAACCATCTCCATTTACCTATAATTTCTTACTTATTCTTTGTTATAGTCAGTTTGTTTTAGAGAAACATAGTTTTCAAAAATCTTCTATTTAAGTTATATATGGTATTGAATTTCTTTATATCATCCCATGTTGATTGATTTTATTTATACTTGTACACATCTTCCCAAATATATATGAATAAAATGGGGTTCAGTTGGAATATGTATTTAGAACTGAAAATATATACATATGTATTCTGCTCTTATTCTATATTTTTCTGCATATTCTTTCTGAATTTTTCTGAGTTATTATGTTAGTAATCTATGAAAAGTCTATAATTTTGAATATAGAATTTTTACTTTCCACTGAATTTCAAACAATAATGCTTTATATGCCATGTGAAAACATTGTATTCCACATTTTCACTTCAGATTGCAAGAAGTTTTTATTATTTTAGTATGACAATATAATACATGTTTTTCAACTAATTCTGGTATAGAAAATGTTTAAATAACTTAGGACTCTTGATATGAAAATTTTCCTGTTGAATAATTTAAAAATTGCTTTGATTGTTGACTGGCAACTCTCTCATATTCAGAATTTTGTTTTTCCTCATGTTATATATTACCACATTTCCCCAAAATAAGAGCTGACCAGAAGAAAAACCTGAGCTGGTCATAACCATGGTGGTAAGCAGCATCACCTATAAGGTCAAGGAATAGAATTAAGGAAGAAGATGATCAAAGCATTTGATTATGTTTTAATTTTTTTTAAGAACAGATGAAGAGTTACCACATATGTACTATATATCATGTGCTGTTTATTTCTGATTTTTTTTGTAAAATGAACTTTATTATACATGTTTCATAAACACAAAAAGGTAACTTCTGGAAACCTCTTGCAAAGATGACAGAACCTTGGACATCACACAGAGCTTAACTGTACCATGCAGGTGGAAAATACAGGTTTCAGTGTCCCCTCCCAGCGAACAAGTCCTCTAAACTAGATTAGAAGTGCAAACTAATACAGATTGAAATGTCAAGGAAGTTGGTGTGTTTGTGGAGTAATTTGATATCTCAACAGTTATATTTTATAGCGATAGAACAACAACAACAAAACTAGATGATCAATTTACCTGAGATTCCACAGCTCAGACTGAGCTTGGGGTGTCTTTTCTGTAACCCAGCCATTCTGGAGTGTTTTCTCAATTCAGTTCAATTTATCCAGTGTGATTAGAGAGCAAGTATTCATCACCATTTGTTGTGAGTTTTATTGCTACAAATTTTCATGATTAATTTTAGATATATTAATGGAAATATTTTGGGATATATAAAGAGTTAAAAATTGTGAACAGGGGCCAGTGAGATAGCTCAGTGGCATAAGCGTCTGCCTGGCAAGTGTAAGGTCCCAAGTTCTATCCCCAGTAGTGGAAAGAAAGAAAGAGAAAGAAAAAAAAGAGAAAGAAAGAAAGAAAGAAGAAAGAAAGAAAGAAAGAAAGAAAGAAAGAAGAAAGAAAATCATGAACATCAAAAGAAGAATTAAATTAAAAATGAAAATGGTTTATTCACAAATTGTCAGAGAAATGGGAGTCAAAACCATAAAAGACATCATGTCACCCAAAATAGAACGTCTATCATTAAAAAATGTGGAGAAAGAGGAACACATAAATGTTTGTTGGAAATTAAATTCATGTAACCATTAAGAAAAATATGTGGATTTTCCTCAAAAAAGTAAAAACAGAACTACCATATGGTCCATCTATTCCACTATACAGTATATGTCCAAAGAAGGTGAAAGCACTATGCTAAAAGCATGCCTGCACCCCCATCCATATTGAAGTGGCTAAAGCATAGATTAATCCAACTGCACATCAGTGGATGAGTAGATGAAGTAAGTGTATTACAACATATGTACATTGTAGAATATTATTCAGTCATAAAAATGAAATTATGTCATTTAACCAATATGAATGAAACTAGAGGTCATTCTGTGAAGTGAAATAAGCTAGGCAAAGAAAGCTAAATATCATATGCTCTCACTCATCTATGTAAACAAACAAATGAACCTCATAAAAGAAAAATTTGCAATCACTAAAAACTGAAAAAGTTCAGCAAGCAGCACCAAAAGTTATTTAGGAGAAACTGTTTCTGATTTCTCTACAGCTCAGTGGAGTAGCTATGTATTAAAATAATCTATGATATATTTCAAAATATCCAGAAAAGACTGAGATTCCTAATACATAAAACTTATTAATGTGTAAAGAGATGGAAATATTTTGAATTCTGATTTAATTATTAAACATTACAATGTAGCAAATTACTAGGTCTCATAGATATACAGATATAATTAAGAAAATATACCAGTTTCCTCCACATAGGTAGACTATTGCAGAGAATTATTATGTTTCTACCATTTAATCACTTTTCCTTTGTTCTATTTGCATATAAAATTCACATGAAGTAAAACATATTGAATATTCCTTTTATGATTTTCATTCTCTACTTTTAGAAGTTCAGAGAAATAAATCACAAGAAAACAAGTCAAGTAGGTAACACACACACACACACACACACACATAATATCATTTACTTCATTTCAGCATGCCTAGTATTTGGAAAGTAATAGCATTCTCTGGTTAGAAAATGAGACTGTAAAGTAAAAAAGAAAGGTTTTTCATAAGATGTCTTTATTGAACATTATGTTTTATATGGAAGCATCAGTTTTACGTTTAGAAAGAATGCTATGAATACATATAATGCTTTTGTAATAGGAAAAAGTCAGGGGAAAGAAGAATTCAATGTCTTATAAGAACAGATTTTCCTATCTCTAGAGGTTAGAAGAGCAATTATGTTCCTCTGAGCAGCTGATGGAGGACATCATCAACCTGGAAGCACTTCTCCCTGAGAGGCCTGTCAGCCTACCTTTATATTAATAGATATTACCACTGGGATGCATCTGTGGGGAGAGAAAAGCGATTTCAGTAAGTGGTATCTCTATTATACTTTTTCATCTAAGCCAAAATAATCTTTCAGATCACCCTTCTAGTTAAATCTCCTTAACTAAAAATAAAAAAGCATGAAAATTTTACAAAATGTTTCTTTTTGCTAAATAAATTATGCTCATGTAGTTCATAATTAATCATGACCCTGACTTTTGGATTGTCCCAGTGACACTTATGATTAGTAGTGCAGATGAAGGCCTACCACACACCTGCAATCGCGTCACACGCCATCTGTGTAGTAGAATGCCCGGCAAGATGAAGCTTTATTGATAGACTTGAAATCAAATCAAGACAAAATGAGAATTCAAGCTTCCACAATACAGCTTACACTGATTTCATCACTGATGAATATTTTGGTAATAAAGCTCTTTCATAAAAAAATTAGTCCTAAGCATATTTGGAACAAATAAGAGTCTCTATTCAATTTTATATTAGGATACATTTCAATTTTTTTCACTAAGTTTCATGTATGTGAGACTACACGTGACAAAATTAGTTTATTGTGATTTCTTCTATCACCAGGAAGAGTTGCATAAAACATGACTAGACACAATACAATCTTCTAAGTCCACAGAATTTGTTTTAGTGATATTGATCTTGCCACATTCTTTTATTGTCTGGCTTGTTGCCTGCATCCAATCATGAGTGAGCTGACTACAGCTTTTAAAGCATTCTCACTTTTCTTTAGACTTAGTACAGTAGCTCAGCCAGACATTAAACTTCTAACTGTGGAATAAAACTGTTTGCCATAAAGCTTAAAGGCAGGAGCCTTTGAATGATATGTATATTTACTGAAACAGATAATAATGCTTAATGCAAGTACAGTGGTTGTGACATGACTGTGATGAACAGGAAAGATTGCGCCGAGTCTTTTGCACTGGTGTGATGGTGAAGCTCAGCCTGCCTTTTCCTAAGCTGCCTTTCTCACAGTCTAGAGCAGCGGTGGCCAGCCTTGCAGATATGAGTGCCAACCCGCAACCTAAAACTAGCTTACTTATTGCCAAGTTTCAGTGCTACAATTAAACTTGAATATTAAGGGTTTAGTTTAGAAAAGAGCAAGTGATGTATTAATTTCTTTGAAAAATGCAGTAACAAAGATTTCAGTGATGCAGATAGCTTTCTAGCTAAAAGTTTGCACTTTGCATGTTTTGGCACAGTTAATGTGTCTTTTCCTGCTTTGTGCATCTTATAAGTTCTCAAAGCTGGAGCAACTTTACTTGTGGGCTGATAAAGGGGGCTCTGTGCCTGCTACCACCCATGCATAGGATGGCCAGCACTATGTAGAATGTAGATAAACTGACAGGAACTTGAAAGCATCTTCAAAGCAACTTTTTTCAAATAGCACAATAGAAAAGCACCTAAATAAACACCTAAGGGTAACGTTCTTCTAGATTATCACATGACAATAATTTAGTGCATAAAGGCAGCAGATCTGCAAGAAAGTTTAATAAATGGAATATAAAGAATGTGTAGTAGTTTTGGAAGGTCAATGAGCAAATGATGATGTATCAGGATACACTGTATCCTGAAGACAATCTTTTCTCTTTCTTTCTTTCTTTCTTTCTTTCTTTCTTTCTTTCTTTCTTTCTTTCTTTCTTCTTTTTTTTTGTTTTTAGGACAGGATCTACATGGCCTACAGGGTCTCACTGTGTAGATCGGACTCGTAATGATCCTCCTGTTTACAGCCTCCCAAATGTTGGGATTACAGGCGTATGCCAGCATGCCCAGTCTCAATTGCCAACTCAGTGCAACATTGGGGTGGGTCTGGCACAGCAGGTCTGGGGCTCAAACTCCTGGCCCCTAATCCTATGTGCAGGTGCTTTAATCTGCTGAGCTACTTGGCTGGCCCATCTTTTTCATTTATTAATGCTCATTAAAGATACAGTGATATTGAAATTATTTCAAAGATAAAATGAAAGAGCTTGACAAGTTGTGGTAAAAAGACCATTTCAAATATGTCAGAATTTATTGTAGGCTGTGTCACTGAGAAAAATTAGATTGTATCTCTGTCTAGATCTATCTAAATTAATCAGGGACTCCAGAAATGATGAGGTCTTCAGGGCTCAGGAAACTGGAGAAAAGACAAGGAGAAAGCAGCACTAGGGAAGCCTTACATCCCTAGTGAGGACCCCTTGCATTCCAAACTAGTACAGGTCCAGACACTTAAAAAGACAGCCATAACATGGACAGACAGCGAGGCTGACATTTTGTCATTCTCAAGGTGGAAAGAACTGGAACTTGTAGTTTAAGTCCAAGAAAGCAAGAGTTGAGAAGATCAGTTCTCAAAGAGAAGGGAACATCATGCAAAGATCATAACAAGATGTCTTTTTTTTTCTCAATAATTGGTACTTTTTTTTTACTGTAGGGTGAAGGGGCTAAAAATAACTTTTAAGGTCTGGACAGTTGGACAAAGTGTTCTGTAGTTTCACAGAGTGAAAAAAGAAGTCCTGAAGGAAGAACTCTTTGAGTATCATTGCTTTCCTCAACAGAAACAAGAAGGCCCATCCAAGAAACACAGGCAAAGGCAGTCACAAAGCTCTGAAAGAGAGAAAACCAGCTCTCTGCTGGAATAATGCCATACTGGGAGAGTGGGCTTCCCCATAGCGAAAGTACCTGAGAAAGCAAATGGATATCTTGTCTACAGGAAGGTAATATGATATGAGAATCAAATTACCCCTCTAACTTTTTGTTAGCAATATACAATATTTATTCAAACTTATTATGCATTCAAGATATAGAATAAAAGAATAATAAATTAAGATAATGAACAGACAATATAAGCAGATCCAACAGTAAATCAGGGTTGAAATTATCTACTATGTGCTTTAAATTATGAAGACTAAAATGCTAATAAGACAGAACTGCTGAAAAGATTGAAAATCATGACATATAACTGGAATTTTTACATTATAAACAGAACTTATAGAATTGAAAGTATAATAATGTAAGAATATAATAGATGGGTTGATTTTCAGGATAGATGTTTGAAAAAAGGATTAGTGAGCTAGAAGCTACTGTTAGGAAATATGTAGACTGAAATACAAAGAGAAAAAAGGATCCATAATCTATTTTTAAAAACCCTATGATATAATTAGAAAGAATATAAATATTTAATACTTATACCGTATTTTCTTTCTTTCTTTTTTCTTTCTTTTTTTTTT